GCTGTACTATATACTCCAACATCACTGGCGCATGGTAACAACCAACGGACTGCAGACCATTTCCGGTCACACATTACTCTCCATAACACAGCACCCCCTAGTTCCGTCACCTCTGGATGTTTCGCTAGTGAAGATTTTATTGTTATTCTTTCTTATCTTACTGTATTATATGGATGGTAAGACGTCTACCATCACTGTCAGTTTAATTTGGATGAACTAACAGCTGTGAAAAGTTGTAGCGCTTGTTGCTATTCGGATGTCGTTAAGTACGCACTGGTGTTCACGCTGATGAACTTCTATAATCGTCATCGGCGTTTAGCGTAGAACACTAGTGCGTACTAACTTCAAAGAATGACGTCATCTATACGTTGCAGCCAATCACCGGGGGAAATCCACGCACCCGTGGAAGATCCTATGAGGAACCCCGCACAGAGTGCGGAGAAGAAACTTAGGACTTGAGACAGACGATAAACGGAGAGATACCTATACAGTACTAGGCTATTACTATATACCTACCACTACCAGCAGGTGAATGGTAAGTATGTCCACTTTGTCTTATATAGTATCTCGAGTAGTATAAGAATCTATAGAGACCTAGCAAATCTCTATAATGGCGACGAGGAAAACTTTTTTTTTATTAGTTTTAGCGTGCGTGTTGCGCTGTGGCTGGATGGATTTCCAAGAGCCACGCACAGCTCCACCGCTCGCGCCTCATCCAACGGCCTCGGGTAGTGAGATGTTTACGTTTCCTTCTCGAGTTCGCTGGACGTATTGCTACCGTCTTGGATTTGTATGCTGCTAGGCAGATACGTTATATTTTCCTAATAGTCAGATTAATTATTTTAGTGGGCAGAGATACGGGACTGGGCGTATAGGCTCGTGACCTGGGGGCGGATTTATCAAACTTGCTAAGCAAGAAAATTTGCTTAAATTCGTCTTAAATCAATTTTTTTGCTTAAGTCAGATTTATCAATATTGCTTAGCTTAGAAATTGCTTAAAATTTGCTTAAAATCGTCTTAACTTTAAGATGAAAACATACCTACCTTAAGACGAAAATTTTCGTCTTATCTCATTCAAAGGCTGCCGCCTCAGATTTTGCAAGTGCGAGCGCACTAGGCCAAATATTTTATCTTTATTACGCGGACGCCGGCGCAGTCTGCCCCTGTTGCGCGATGGACGCTGACAGTGCAATAGTACATAAAGTTAGCCTAGGAGTTGCACGAAACAAAAACGCATTTTTCGGGATATATGGAACCATTAAACTGTCGAAATATTTTTAGGCAACTATTTGAAAGTTTACCAAAAGTTGCTATAATAATTATTTGCCGAGTATTGCGTTCTGTTCATTCAGAAGAACACAAAACGTCGTCAAACTATTCGTAGCGTCACCGAGTGATAAACAGAAAATCACAGGCCGATACGAGGCCCGTCATACCGGCGGTGTCCTCGCACGTACTCTAGGGCCTAGGCCGGCCTAATTGTAACCCACCTTAAACGTCAAATAAGGAACTATTTAGGGTTTCTGTCAGAGGCTTTACGGTATTGCTAAAAGAGGTTTGTTGATAGGTATGTTTATTGTAACTCACTAGGCCTAACTAACTAGTGGAGATGTGCGCTTAATAAATCTTATTATTATTATTAGTAGGTTGTGTAACCAGCTCAGCTGCAGCCTGGCCAGTAGTACAGTAGTAGGGCCCCATAGGTATAGAGGGTACCTAGCCTAGGCCTATCCCATTTATTTATGTACAGCATGGCATACAGTGCACTAAACAAAAAATATACATACTGTATATTATAAAAGCACAGAGTGTGGATCAATTAGGCCAACAAAAAAAAAATCAATTCTTTGTTTGCCCGTCCATTTTTGAAAATAATTATGATATAGGGGTAGATGGAAATTTTTTTTAAAATTTATTTATTATTTTTAAGATACTCATCAGATGGATTAAAAATAACCCACAGAGGTCATCCATGCTAATGAAAAATCAACTTTCAAATCAGCTCTAGATAGGTATTAGCAAACTTAAACCAAATAAATAAAACTTCCTCAACTATATATGAAATAAGCTATAATAAACTTGAGCAACATGTTGCACACAAGCAGCAAAACACATTTAAGAAAGTGCTGAAGTTACCAGCAATGTCCAATTAGCAATTCTGAGATTGTAGGACATCTGGCAAAAAATAAAAATAAATTCACTCACAGTTTCTTTTTAATTTTAAAGAAAAAGCTAAAAAAAAAGAAGTTTTTTTTTGTTTTTCCACCCCTATTTTTTCCAGTGAGTTATTGGCGGGTTGAGGAGAGCAAACAAACATATTTTTTCCTTTGGCCTTACACAAAGCCACCAAAGTCTGTCTTCATTTTGCAATTACTTAAATTATAATTTTTAGTAAAAAACATAGTTTTACAAGGATACAATACAAAGATACTTTATTCATCCCACTACGGAAACATTTCATGGCTGGATACAACAAAGTGAAAAAAGCATAAGACAATTTACTAATAGTGATAATAATAATATTATTATTAGTATAGTAATAATAAAACTATTAATAATAATAATAGTTATGATAGTTTTGGCCTACACACAGCACCACTCGTTCATATTATTCAGTGGAGATTTTGTCTCACAATTTAGCTAATTTGGTATTATATTAATTAGCAAAACAGAAATTTGACTTGCCAAAACAATTAATATAAGTAGCAAAAATTCCATCAGCTTTATGGTTTATAAAAAATATATTTAGCAAAATTCAGCTTTTATTA